CTTAAAAGCTTGTGGTACATGGCCTGTTAACAAAGACATATTAATCAGATGTAATATGGAACTGTCAATTAGGGGGGAACCTTCCTTAAAAAGTCAAGATGGGACAGAGTCTAATTGAGAAATTGAGAAATAGTGCAATGATGCAGAGTGCAAAGATGTTTGAGTAAATATGGAAAGATTGTCAAAAGATACTTATACTTATATATATATAGGTGGAATATATATATGTATAACAGATTATTGCACACAGATTGTTCCTGACACTGTAAGACTGATTAAGTGCACACCAGAGTGACAGCCATAGGAAAGAAGCTGTACTGGTGTCTGGTAGTTTTGGCTTTCAATGCTCTGTAGCGCCTACCAGAGGGGGGGAGTTGGAACTGGTTGTGTCCAGGGTGTGATGGGTCTGCAGTGATGTGCCCTGTCCATTTCCTGACTCTGGATATGTACGAGTCCTGGATGGAGGGCAGGCTGGCACCAATGTTTTTTTTCTGCAGACCTCACTGTCCGTTGTAGTCTGATCCTGTCCTGTTTGGTGGCTGATCCAAACAGTGATGGATGAACAGAGAACAGACTGGATTATGGTAGTGTAGAACTGGATCAGCAGCACCTGAAGCCCTGTTCTCTTTGCAGGCAGATGGTGCCACTATGACTTTATCAGCAGTTACAGATACAGTATACAGGAAGACAGAGTTAAGACGAATTAACAAATGTTTTACATATGTCTGCATCTTTGAATTAGGTTTAACTTTACATTTTACAGCAGGAGTCACATTGGTTAAAAATACGTAAGTAGGCCTGTATTTTCATAATCATCTTAATCAGCTACTCTTTAACAAGTTTGTCTGTCCCAGGAAGTCAGTTCAATATATAAAAGGTATCATCTAGTCCTCTGTACAGAGACCAAAAGACAAAAAATTAAATTGAAGTTGGAGATACAGATATTGGAGAGAGATGTTATTATATATTAAAATAAATCCAAAGGGTAATCTTAATCATGGTAATGTTTTTTTTCATGGCTTGGAACTAATCACTGATAAACATTTCAAAAACACATTTACATGCTAACAGATTGTGACAGAACCTTTATTCTTTGATGTGTTAAACTTTTTTTCTCCAATCTTTTTATTGAGTTTTGCAAATGATCAACATAATACAGAGAAATTAAATATTTTTTTGTTCTTTTTTTTTTTCAAACAAACTGAAGCCAGACTCAACAAAAATAACACACAACGTGCCAATCCTGTAGCCTGCATTGAGCTGCTGAGCAATGCTAAGCCTGCCACAAAGATGGGCCTCATTCACAAAATCATACGTACGTACATTTGACGCACAAATCTGGGATTAATCAATATGTTCTTAACTAAATATTTTTGCAGAGTACGAACAAATTTAGAACTTCCTCAGACCATGCATATTCGCTTAAATGAAGGCCCAGCTGTCCTAGAAAATGTAAACACACATAGTATGCATAGTATTGGAAAACTCTATTTATAAAGATAAAAAAGGCTTTAATTGACAACAATAATTTATAGAGTATATCAGAATGCTCATATTAAGAAGTAACAGTTTTGGCTTTCATTAAATTGTTTATTGGCCTATAATTAATCGGCCACTCCAAATAATTTCTAGTGCCATGAAATTATGCATCTGTAGTTGATTTTTAACTGATTAATTGGTAGCAAAAGAAAATCAGATATGAGAGCTTCTTAAATAATATGTATATATATTTAGTACATAGTTCTGCTGGTGCGCTACAATGACATCCAAGCTCGCACACGTGTACATTTCAGCTATGCTAAACTCAACTGGGGAAGTTCTGTGGTGACATATTTTAGTTATTTTTTATCCTGTTCACCTGCAGTGCCAATTGGCCAATGTATTGAAATGTGTGCATTTTAATTAGTTAAAGCCTGATTTGCATATCAAGGTGGCGATTTTTATGACATCATTAGATACAAATCTGACTGTATTCACCTGTAGTGTCTCCCCTAAGTACAGTGCATTAGCCTATATGCCCTAACTTATTACATTAGCCAGTACCTCATCACCTGCAATTTATCTTTATCTGCTCAGTCTCCCCATTGTTCTGAGGGAAATGAGGACTGGATGTCACATGACCGAAGGCTAATCCTGTGAAAACTTCCTGAATGGCTCAGATGCAAACTGTGGTCCATTGTCCCAGTGTACCACTTCTTGTATTCCATGACGTGCAAAGATGGACTTAAAGTGTTCAACCACTGCTTCTGATGTTGTGGATGTTCGTTTGGTCACTTCAAAGTATCTGGAAAAATAGTCCACAAGGACCAAGTAATGGTTGTTTTTTTCTGTCTGAAACAGATCTGCTCCCACAGTGGGCCATGGTCTCCATGCGAACTCTGTAGGCATTAATGTTTCTCTGAAGTTTGTCCTCACGTGATTACATGTATCACAGCTCTCTATCATTTTTGTTAGCTCTTTGCTTTCCAAGCCATCACACTTACCTTTTTGCTCTTTCTGTGCATTTGGCTATTCCCAGCTGGCCCTTGTGCAGCTTGGTCAGTACATCTGCTTTGAGTGATGCTGGGATTACCATTCTGCTACCATAAAGCAGCAGAACTTTCTGAACCGTGAGCCCACCTGAGAGTGGCAGATAGGGTTGAAGCATTCTTTCAACCGAGAACTTGTCTTGCCATCCCTCCTCACAGTACTTCTTCAACTGCTGCAGTATAGTGTCGTTGTCATGATACATCTGGATTTCTTCAAGCCTCTTCTCTGTAGCTGGCAGGCTTGCTTTGATGGCGTCCACATAAAGGTTGATCTCATCCTCAAGCAGCCCTTAAGTTGTGTTGCTGACAGGAGTTCTGGAGAGCACATCAGCGGTTGCAATTTTTTTGCGTGCCACATGTGATAAGGTGTAAGCTAACTTATTAGCCCCATATGGACCACATCTAAGTTCTTAGAGCCCAGCAGAGGAACCAAAGGCTTGTGATCCATCTCAATGTGGAAACTTTTTCCCAATGAGGAACTCTGCAAATCTCTCAGAGGCCCAAGTTGAGGCCAGCGCCTCCTACTCAATTTGCGTGTATCTCTGTTCTGTGCTGCTGAGAGCTCTCAAAGCGCATGCCACCGATTTCCACTCCATATGAATGGAAACTGGTGGGATCAGCAGAGATGAGTGTTTCAGCATTTGATCATACAGTCCACGTTGGAGTTGTGATGCATCTAAGAATTGAGAAATGTCCACAACTCTAGAGCTAACCACTGTGCAGGGAACAGTATTCACCATCTCAGTTATTGCAGCCCAGGCTTCTTAACATGTATATGCCTTTTGTGGCTTCCACCTCCAACACAATTGTTTAAATTTCTGCTGTTGTGAATTTCTTCTGTTTTTTTACCTCCTTGTATGGATAAATAGAGGCGTGGCAGTACACTGATTGCAGATAGTGGATTCCGATTCACAAACATACGCAAGATGGTGAGAACAAAATCAGCTGGAGCGCATGTATCATGAATATGGTGGAGATTTTACGCACGCACTTATTTTGAGCAGAGAGTAAGAACATTTCTGGACACATGTTGGTGGATGAGGCCCATGGTCTCTAGGTGACTGTGGCAACTTTCATGCCGTTTGTATTTTTGGAAGATATGTTTTAGCTCTCGCACCCACGTCGCTATCCACAGTACCTCCGTGCTGACAATTTGAAACAGCAAACAGGTAAGGCAATAAAAGACAAGTAATTTCATCACATTCAGTAAGTCAACTCTGTTTCTGAGAGCAGGAGAAGCCAGGTGTAAGCCCATACTCATCACTTGCTGCTGAATCTGTAAATCGGGTCGATCCTGACCAAGCTCCTTTATCCTCTTTTTTTCTTGATGGCCCGTGGTTGCCAAAACTATAAGGACCCCCATTCACTACCAATTGGCAGGCGGCCCAATACGAAAGTATATGTATTTAGAGAGAAATTAACCAAATACAATTTGAAATCAACCTATATTGAATGATCACATGTGCTTGCAGTCTACCAGGAGCATTTACCAGTAAACAATTATTATATAATTAAATCATGTTCATTGTATTGTATACAAGCTTTTTTGTCTCAGGATGTTGGAGGAAGCGCCCTGTGTTAACCAGCCGCCACTGATTTAACATTGTCACGTTTGAAATAAATGATAGTGCTGCTGTCTTTTACTTGGTCCCCAACAAAGGAATGGAATAAGTGTAAGGGCCTTTGCATAATCTGATTTCTTAAAAGTTTTTAAGTGAGCCTTTCAGAGAAAATGTAATCTTCTCTAATTTCATAATATGTCTTTGATTCATGTGCTGTGGGTTGGTGGCAGTACATGTTTCCGTTTAAGAAGTATGTTGTGTAAGAGACGTATATGATTATTTTAAGAAACAGTGGGATGTAAGCATACAACAAACAGGCTTGTAAGAGGATCAGGTGGAATGTCTACACCAGAAATGTCGGAAAGGATTATTAAAAAATGTCAGACCAAACATTAGAAAAACAAGGGCAAGTCCAAAACATATGGAGGAGGTATAGACTAGTCCCAGCACAGTCTCCCACATCTTGTCTGGCAGTTCCAACTCCAAATCCATAAATGGCTATTGTGGCCTTTTCATTGTATTGATTTTATGCTTAATCTCATCAAATATGATGGTAATAACTTCCAAAGTACCGCCATGGTGTGGTATGGTAATCATAAATATACTATATGGAGCGCAAAGAAGAAGAAAAAACGTGTCAAATATGACTGCATGACCGAACTGCTACATGACTGCATTGCCGAACTGAGAAAAACTACCTAGGAAGCCTGTGGAAGGCCGCTCACTATCTTGCACTGTTTGAACGTCTTTGGCTGGTTTGAGTCAATATTAAAGTGACGTCATTTTTTTCAACGAAAGGTCGAAACAAATGGCGACACTGTTATTGGCTGATTCGTCGCAAAGGGCGGGAACTGCGTCTCCTGCGGATTGGTTTGCCTTGCTGTCAATCAACCGTGCCCCGTCTCTGGTCTCAGAGTCCGGTTGATGGAGAGAAGGAGAAGAGAAAGCCGCAGAGACGCGGTGGACATGTAGGAACAACGGAAACAGCAGCCCGAACGCTCCATGTCCACCTCACGTCTTGTTGTTTTTTTGTTTTACTTTTTTCTACTTTGTTGACTTTTCTTTTTTCCACGGTGGTTTCGTCGCTTTACGGCCCGAGTCCTGTATCCCTTGGCAACGCGACCAACTGTCCTGCGAAGTTTGGATCAAGTGTTTTACTGCAGACGGAAAACTGGCTGGATATTAACCCGCTGAACCACCGGAGCTTCCCCTGGGGCATGCTAGCGTGTTGGAAAGTTCTCCAAACTCCCCCCCCCCCCGTTCTTATCTAACTTCTTTTTTAATTTGAAACTTTGTGTTTAGGGAAACGGCACAGCGCGAGACAATAGTGGTGAGGGGGAGAGGGAGCTCGTGCACGGGTGAGGTAGAGGAGGGAAGGGGGAGTCGGTGCCTCGCGGGGGCTTTGTTCTGCCCAGAGTCGAGGTGCCGGATATCGACCGAGCGAGCGGCGGATTTAATGATTAGTTGCTGATTAGAAAGCGGAGCTGGAAGCCGTGGGAACAACCATGGACGTGACTCTGTCCGAGTTACTGGCCACTTTCATGGAGTCACCGCTGGTGGTGTGGGTGAGTGGGAGCAGCACGCGCACACACACACACACACACACACACACACACACACACACACACACACACACACACACACACACACACACACAGTTGTGATGATGATGCACACGAGCTGCAGTCCTCGGCTTCTGGTTTACTTTCCCTCCTCTGTCTCTCACAGCAGACACGTCTCTCACAGGACTAACTAGTACGTGTCCTTCAACAGAACGTGTACTTTTAGTGAATAGTGATTGTGTTCACTGATACTCCCTCAGACGGACTACGTTCACTTCAGTGACAGGGGGGGTTTCAGAGTAAAAGCCTCAGATTGAGTGGTTCTTCGGGGAATCAGGAAGGTGTCTTCGGGACTTTCTAAACTTCTCAGAGTCACAGCAGAAGAACCATCTTCTGTCTCCCGTGCTTCACCGCTCGCAGCGGATGTATCTCACTTCACGTGTCACTGCCGTTTCTTTGTACGCACGGCTTCTGAAGTCTTCTCGTGGTCCAGGTGATTTCAGCTGTCTTTGCTCATGCCCAAGGTGTGAGTGCATTAAATAACACAGTCACTTCCAGCCCAGACTTAAACAACCTGTCGAGCAGTGAACGGGTCATTCACCCCGTGGTACTTCCTGTTTCCCCCTTCTCGCACATCCTGTTGACCTGTATGGTCAACCAACAATTTGTCCCACATTTGCCAGACCAACACAATTACAATGTACAAACAGTAGAACGATCAGGGCTACTTTCAGCTGACAACTTTCACTGTTTTACTCATTGTCAGTTGATCTCTGCATGCACATCCAGGGGTTAAGTACATTTTTGTTTGTGACCAAAACATTGGTACAATCCCCGGAGTGTATTATATCCCTGGACTAGAGTTGAGGATATATCTAGGAGAGGAAAAGGAAAGAGAAGTGACAACTGCTAGCAAGGCCCTTGATTCCCAACTGATCCAGTGGCTAACAGATCAGACTGGTTGTGTTGGGCACAAGTTGTTCTCTGAACTGGTCTTTTCTCAGGAATAGGCCATTACTCTCAGCAATCCTCCTGAAAAAAAAATGAAATGTTGAACGTGTAAACGTAATCTATGTAACATATTAAAGCCAGGACATTTCTGTAATTTTGCTGTACTGCCTGAACCAAGGTTTGACAAAATCGCATTTGGAACCGGAAATTGCATGGGTTAGGTTTAGCATTGCATGGGCTGGCAAGGCTAGTAGATTGATGTTAGTATTTATCAAGTTGTAAAACACCCTTTTTCTTATCAAACATTTTTGTCACTAACCTATTTTATTCTTGCTCTCACCACATTTGTTATGGAGGTCTGGAAACAAAACACAAAGGCCTGTAATCATGATAGTCAATGTTCAATCTAATTGAATGCACATTTAAAGTGGATTATAAACTTGCAACTGTAATTGAATGTCTCACCCTGTTCGTCAGAGAAATATTTTGTTTCAATGTCTGATAGAATGAAATCTATATAGCAAGGAGGGACTCACCTGACTTGGTTTCTCTTTAGATACCATTCTGATACTATATTAGCACTGTTGAAATGATTTGTTTGTTGAACACTCAGCTTTGAAGCTATACCAGCTGCTGGCAGCGATAAGGTCCTCCCTGGCTGACTCACAGTTCAGTTATTTTCAGTTCATTTAAGTTAATACAGGCATATAATAACCAAAATATTTCAGGAATGAGGGTTATTATTCTTCATTGTCCACCACAGTCTCAGCAAAAGAGTTATTATTTGTCAACTTTCACTCTAATCTAATACAGTTGATGTTCATTAAAACAAGTCCAAGAAAAGCACAATTATATAGCATTTACCTTCACCACTTAGTGACATCAGAGATGCAGTCAGAAAAAGTTTAATATGCAACAAGGCCCCCGAGGCAGAACTGAACTGGGATTGTTGCAGTTACATGGCACATGTCCTAGCCCTTAGGTAACAAGATACTCCCAAACCAGGATAAAACATCTCTTTGACTGGTTATGTTTGTTTTTATGAAAAAAAAATAAAAAAAAATAAACTACCGTTGCACACATTTGAAAATGAGGTGTAGCATCTCTAAGCTGCCACATCTTACAGACAACAACAGTAGGCAAGTGACTACTAGAAGTGAGTACTAGAAACATCATTAGGAAAGTTATCATAAAAAAAATAACATGACCAACATATTTACTTGGAAGCATAAATCTTGATAACTGTATATTTAGTATGTTGTCTCTTTTCTTTGTAACCTGTCTGTCTCTAGGTGCGGATGTTGGGCCCGCTGGGTTCATGTGACGATGTGGGCTCAGAGGAGCGAGTCAGCATGTTCATGGAGCTGGTGGACGGTGTTTTCCTGCACAAGATCATGACACACATGTAGGTAGCAGCATATAGATTGAGAGTTTGTCTTTTATTTTCATGAGTTAGTAAGAATTGTTCCTTTAGTGTGTATTTTTGTGTGTCTGGATTGAGTACATGAGCAATGAGTGAGTTGATCTAGTGTTTCCTGTATGTGTCTTTGAAAGTTTGTCTGTGTGACCACATCCTGACATGGTGGTATCAGGTTGTAAACGTCACAGCCAGATGGGCTCCTCAAGGTTGCAACCAGAGATGGTGCTTAAGCGAGTTTATGAATTGGATTATTTGTAGTTCTTTTAGAGCTGACAATGTTTTAATTAATCTCTCAAGACTTCTTTACCCTGTCTGTGGCACTCAACCCCACTGTTCCCTATTCGACCTGTAAATCCAATATTTGTCAAAACAACACAGGTTGTTTTTCACAGTACACTTAGACATTACTGAAAGGAAATACAAAACAATATGCTTACTGGTGAAGTGAGTGCAACATCCTGGTATAATCCTAAAATACGATTGGTAATAAAATAATTATATTGAATTGATTTGAAGTGGAATTTTCTCATCCACCCCTAGCCATTTGTCAGCGATTCAACTTCAACTTTAAATGTATCGTCCCAGAGGGGACATTTGTTTTGCAGCCAGACGGAAAAAAAAAAACTAACAAGAAACACAGGCACACAGTCTCAGGCACAAGAAAGAAAAACACAAATACATCAAATAATAATAGAAAACCGAGAGCTTGTAAAACCATTAATAAAACCAAAAATAAGACATCAGTCATAAGGAGTTAACAGGAAATGTCATCATTAGAATTTAATAGTTTGATGGCCTAGGTTGTAAAATTATTTTTCAATGCGATTGTATGCTTAGGAAATATTTTGTTTCGTTTTACATCCATAGAGTCGAGTCCTCCCTCTTTCTTATTCCTCCCATAAAAAATATTTTCTGTGACAGTTAATATTTTTAAATTTATTATTTCATTAAAACCTGAAATATATATGTTATTCAACATTTTAAGAAGGTTTGTCAATTTCCTAAACTGTTGACCAGTTGTTACTTGAACAGGAGGACACATTTGGCCCTAGTGAGTATTTCTGGAAGCAGGATGAGGGATTTGTGTGTTGATAGTAATGATTGAACATGTCCACCAGTGCAGTTATCTTACTTATCATTTTATATCTTCTGGAGTAGAAAAGCTTCTCAGAAAAGCATGAATACTGTCCACATTAACATCATATACTTTATAACCCACATATCTGCTTGTGTGGAATCTCTCTCCCATCCAGACAGCCCCACATCCACCATCAGACCACATGTTCATATTTTAGTTATTGTTTTCAGAAACAATGATAATCAGGCTATTGTTCTCCACACACTGAATGTAGGCTGGGCTGACTGGGGTGGGGGTTACCAGGATTTTATAGGGATTTATAGGAAAGTGGGTTACAGAGGAGGAGGTCAAGAAGAGGACTATTAGAGTGAAGCCACTCATAGACAGTTGGTAAATCAGTCAGTCAGAGAACCAGTCAGCTGTGAAATTAGTCAGCCTGTTAACCTATTATTCTCCCTGACCTGAACTGGGCGGCAATAATAATATTTAATCTGGGCATCATCAGTTGACTGAGATTCACTTGTTGACTGGGAACAAAATGAGAAATAAATGTTTAAAAAGTTGGAATGCTTACTTTAGTTGAAACATTTGAAGTTGACTCAAAAATACTACTTCAGAAACAATTAGTGAAAGAGGTTGGACCAGCAATTAAACTGGAAGTACTGAAAGAAGCTGACATGACATCTAAGTGTAAGCACTGAGTAATGTATGAAATTACGTGTCAGCCCAGAGTGAAGACTGAGTTAAAGTCAAAGTGCTGAAAGAATTGGTGCAAAATGGTGCAACTTTAAAAGTACTAAGTTAATGATGTCAGAACTAAGTTCTAGAAGCAGCTAGATTAAATCAAATATGAGAAGTGTGAATGGTAGATGAGCTGCAGGCATGGAAGAAGGTTATGTTTCAGCTGTACGCAGTTGAAAGTTTGCATATGAAGAGTGGAAGTGAAAGAGCCTGTCCTGTTTGAAAATGTAAACTGAAACTTGAGATGCTTTAACCGTCAATTGAAGCATAAGCAATGAAAGGAGCTGAGCTGTTGGCTTTAGTGTCACTGAAGCAGATGAACTCCTGGTTAAAGATTAAAGCAATTTTGTCTCAGACCTTCAAAATCATATACTTAATTCATGTGTGAATCTTAATGGATTTGTTTGCTTCATTGAGTGTGTAAAATAAATGAAAGGAATTAATTCATTTTGTAAATGTTGCCATAGAACAAAGTCTACTGAAGTTAGTTAGTTAGTTAGTTGTAAAGAGTGGATGAAGTGTGATCCACAACAAGTGTCAGGCACATGGAGCTCAGGCAGTTAAGACCCATAGTAATGCACCTCCAGTACAATCAGTCTGTTTTCTGGCCTCTTTATATTTAAAAAGGTTTCTAACAGAGGTGAATTGGGCTCCAACGTGAAACTTACATCATGACAGTCATCGTAGGTCAGCCAGACTAGTTTACACTCCTCCTGTTCATATGCATATCAGTCTGGCACAAGCTCATGTGTTGATGTGAGTATAAATCCTTCCCTAGCACAATAGCTACCCTGGACCAGTGTGTGTGTGTGTGTAATGATCTTTGTCTTAAATAGCCTCTAATAACGTCAATCTTCGTGCTCCTGTGGTGCACGTGTGTCTCCATAGTGACCCTAGCCCCAGTAATCAGAGACTGAACAAGAATGTGAACAATGACTTGTCGCTTCGCCTTCACAACCTGAGTGTTCTCACCAAACACATCAGAACGTACTACCAGGTAAACACGCACACACACACACACACACACACACTGCAAACACTGCAAACAGTGAGCTAACTTACTCTGGCAACATATATGGTTCAGTTTTAATTTGATTTTATACAGATGCAAAAGTGTAAAACATTATTTTCATTATTTTTATTTAATTGTTATATCTTCTGCAGATAGTATATACTATGTTTGAGCTGTCAGCTCTCAGTTTGAATCTCTGTCTTTCTATATGGAGATGCAGCCCATATATTCAACTGGTCATCTTTACTAAAGGGGTGTGGTTCATTTGTCTTTTACCCATCATTTGCGTCTTAAGTACATTAGTGATGTTATCAAAGGGTTGTGTCTGGATTCATAAAAAACACAGTTATCATGGCAACAGTAAGTGGACAACAGCTTATTCAAAAAGTTGACAGTGTGCTATCTTGGGTTCTCACAATGTAATACATTGTACATACATTAGCATGTATGTCTGTCATGTCTGTACTGATGATGGAATGCATCAGTATGGATCAACCTTGAACTTGCTGGCCAGTGGTTTTTAGTGTACTTGCTTTATGACCAATAATCTGCACTGATCAATAGAGGCAGGAAATAACAATATAGATAGATCATCAGAAACAAATCCCATGCAAAAGTCCATAAAAAGCAAGTGACAAACTTGCAGGAAAAAAGAGGCAAGAGGAGCTGCTGTGGCTTAGCTGTAGAGCAGTCGTCCTTGGGCAAGATGCTGAACCCTGAATGGCCCCTCATAGATGTTTCACTGATTGAGGTCGCTTTGGATAAAAGCATTTCTCTTTCTCTCGTGCTAATTCACATGCACTCACACACAAACAGTGTCATTGGACTTGTGTAAACTCAGACTGGGTAAAAACAACAGAATTCATAAACTTAGGCAATGTATGGAGATCCGGAGGAGATGACGGAGTGGTCCAGTGGTCCGAACCAGTAGGCAGTGCGCAGCACGAATGACAGAGACACAGAGAGGAGCAGTAAATTACTGAGGGAGTCAGTAAAAACTGTTTTAAAATAAAACGGTCCAAACGTCTATGAAAAGACACAATTATGACCCAAATATGTCCAAAGCTTTAATCCATACACCACCCACATCACTATCTGTGATCACCATGTCCGGTTTCCATTGTAATGTTGTCCCGTGAAAACAAGTACTACAATTTTGTCAGGAGGCAGCACGGAATTGTCTGTCCCTGCTGCTCATGTTGTAGTATTACATTTCACACAGAAATAGCAAAAACTGCCTCAAGGCCGATGCCAAATCAAGTGATGTGATGTGACCATCCGCTCAAAGCTAATCACAGTGGATGGTCAGAGGCATAAATTATGCGTGCATGTGTGTGCATGTCCACAGTGTGTTTTTTGTATAAATCAGAGATAAAGAGATCAGATGCAGTTGATTTGGCTGAGCTGCAGTCATGTAATGATTACTCTAAGCTCTTACCTCACACGGCAATGGCAGTGTGTCGCTTGCGCGTAGTAGCAGGTTTCTTAAATCCAAATAGTTTGGCAGATAAAGATGTACACAGTGAGTTGCTCAATGTGGTCAATTTAAGAGTAATTAACTAGTTATTGTAGTTTAGATGTGTTCATTTTTTTTAGTGATGTTTTGAAAATCTGATATCCCTGAAGATTTATTTTGTTTATTAAAAATTTGGCCAGTGCACAGTAAATCCTCGATACTCATGTAGTTTTTCGTGTGTGTGTCTGTGTGCGTGTGCGTGTGCGTGTACGTGTGTGTACGTGTGTGTGTGTACTCAGTCTGAAGTGGGTCATTCCAGGCAGTATGGGGTTAATCTGTCTGGTTAATCTCTAACCACACACTCAGCCACACATGTGCATGCATACGCCTCATAATGTAACCTCAACTGAATGACTTGCAAGCAAAAAAACTTGTGGATTCAGACAGTATGTCCAAAATAGGGGCACTGGAAAATGACAGCCCCCTAAGCACTCACATACCTCAGAATCTTATCCCTGTATATTAGGGTTGAGAGGACATGTAATTTTCTCTCTGGTTGAGCCCTTATTATCAAACATGTGCCCTACTTTGGCCTTCAGGCTTTGAGGTCAGCAGGCACGGGGGCATGGCTAGGTGACGACTGGATGGGAGCCTTTCGACAGCATGGAGAAATACTGCTCATCTGGGATGTTTACTTGTTGCTTAGTTTGAGTTAACAGGGTGGTGATGGATTAGGGGGTGGATTTTCACCCAGGCAAGAGGCTTGTTCTTAGAGGCTGGTGTTAAAATGAGGTATGCCTGCCTGGTGAGAGCTGTATACATGTAGTGTGAATCTACACAGATTAAGTGGCATCGACTGAGTTTATGATGAATCTTGCTTGTCTGCCAAGGACAGTTAAAACCTTATGGATGCTTTAATAGGCCACTGACACATGCAGGACTTGTAGAGAGAGAGAGAGAAGACCATATGCTGCACAACAATAAAATGATGTCACAAAACACTAATCTATCAACATAAAAAAAAAAAAAAATCTAGGTTGGCTGTTCAATCACAGTCTGATCCTTTCTGCATAGCAGGAGTTTTTGGGCGAGATACTGAAACCCAAATTGCCCCTGACTGCTGTGCCGTTTTCATATAAAAAGTGCTGACCAAAGATGCACAGTATAAGTGGGTGAATGGCAAAGAACTGTACTGTAAATTTTATTTGCGTAGTCATCAAGACTAGAAAAGCACAATGTAAATGCAAACCATTATATATATATATATATATATTTTCCTTGGCTTGACTTTGTCCCTTTAGACTTAAGCTTCACAATGCAGTCAGATGTATCCTGTTTGGGTTTACTTTTCTTGAGATGTGACAAGAACCTCTTTTGGCAAAAGAATGGACATAGTAATCACAATATCTCACACCTGTGTATGTAATGTCTCACAGTTCACACTACATGTCAGGAGAAAGACTGGGCTGTGTAGTCAAAGAAAGACTTGTGAATTGTGTAGAGGAGCAAATTTAAAAAGACAATTCTACAACATTGAGTGTACTCAGGAGGACAGTGGCACCACGAGGTCGTAAGACCTGTGTAACTGAGCAAGACGAAGTTGAAGCTGTAGTCAGTACTGTAAAGCGCTTTGAGTGGTCATCAAGACTAGAAAGGCACTAAACATACAGACCATTTACCATCACCTGGATAATACCATCCCTACAGTGAAGCATGGAGGGGGAGCATCATATTATAAGGTAGATTCTCAGACTGGGAAGGGCTGGGAGTCTGGTCATAGTTGATGGAAGGATGAATAAAGTCAAATATAGAGAAATCCTTTAAGAAAACCTGGGACTGGGATGACATTTCACCTGTCAGCACAAAAATGACCTGAAGCAAACAACAAGTCTCTGACTGTTCTTGAGTGACTGAGCCAAGCTAAAGCCAAAAGCTTAAACCTCAAAGAACATCTCTGGGTTATTGAGTGAAGATTTAAGTGCACAAAGTTATTCGTTTAGAGATTTTGAATTAAATCTACAACATAATACAATGTGTAAAAAATGTAGGAGTCTCTCTCTCTCACTCACTCTCTCTCTCTCACACACACACACACAAGTATACATCCAGCTGGGGCTAGGCGTTGGCTTTCTTCTAATTAGATGATGTCCCAGCAGACACTGGCTGGTCCAGTGAATCCTCTGTCTCCCCAGCGACGAAGCAATAATTTGTTGTGTGTGTGTGTTGGAGAGAGAGAGAGAGAGAGAGAGACAGACAGAGAGAGGAGGGGTGTCTGTCACCCTCCTTCTGTTTGGTCCCTGTTGTACAATGGACAGTAACCTGATATCACAAGGTTTGAATACAAAGCAAAACTGTTTTCCCACGTCTACTGAGGTTTCCATCCAACTACTTCAATGAAGTAGCCTACTGGAAGAATGAAATAATTAATTGATCATTTTATCCACTGATAATCAATAGATGAGAATTTAGCCAATAAAATTACCATTTGTTTGTTATAGTTTTGTAAGGAGTACCAACTTTTCTGTTTGTCGTTGGTTTGGAATGGGCTGTTTGTTTGGCCCGTGGTATTGCTCTGAAGCTACTTCAGAATGATTCCTTGTCATTACTGAGTCCTTCTCAAACAGTTCTACTATTTACTGTCACTACAATTCACAGTGCTTTTTATATACAATCTGTCATTCAGAGTGAAGTTAGAAAACAAATCCTACCAGGCTTATTTGCCATGATGATTTTATCGTCAATGTTTTTCATAAAATGAAACAGAATTTGCTACATTACTGTTCATGGGTGTGGCTTATATTTGAATGATTTACTGAGCTGCTGTTATTTTTCATACATTGTATGTTGGAAATTTCAGAGGTGTATTAAGCAAGCAACACTGTTTTAGTTTATCCGAGGACGTAGAAGAAGTTAAGTTCAAGTTGGCCCACAGACTAAAGGCCCCGCCCCCCACCGACTGCTAAACAGTGTTGTTTGCTTATCTATTCAAATTTTGTTAAAATTAAATGTATCAGGTGTCTTCATTTGACACTGCACTTCCCTGAGCAATTAACGATACACATGGCAAGAGTAAAGCCAATCAGATGGTTTGTGATATTTGCGTTCCACATACAGACATACAGATAAAGAAAAAGACAGACAGATATTCGTGGAATTAGAAGGAAGATTTATATGTACAAGTTTCAATTCAGCTCAGTGTGAGTCTACTGCATTTCTCTCCTCTGCTCCCTGTTTCACTGTCTGTGTTTAAGCAATGGAGCAGTGAAGCATAGAGAGACAGGTTGACAACTCGTCATGTTAAGTAAAATTAAATCTTTCCAATAAGTGTCATAAATTTGTCTAAAAACAAATATGCAGAGATGTCTACCCCAAATCTCTGAAAGTCAGCCCAAGATTTTAGCATTTTATAAACTATAAAATGTTTACCAATCTGGTGACAGTGGTGTGGATGCTAGCAGCTCTGCTACTGATGCAAGGGAATATAGCCCTGACCAGAGCACTAGTAGCTCACACTAGTGCACACATTGAG